GTGCCGTGCCGTGATCTCACATGACGGAGGCCAGGCCAGCAGGTCAGGGCCCAGGGCTCTACCCTCGCCACCCACAGCCCGGCTCTGTCTGTCAACCCAACACCCATAGCCACTCAGGGCAGGGCTGGGGGGGACATTGCCTAGGTGACCATGCCCACCCTCTCAAGGGCAGGAGGGCACCCTGCTGAGACACTGCTTCTCCTCAAGAGCAGCTGACACTTTCCCCAAGGACATCCTACCACCAAGGCTGCCAGGTAACAGGGGTGTACTCTGGTCTGGGAGAGGTGGTCCCGCTTACCCACACATGCTGACAAGGCCAGGGTCTGTACTGGTGTCTCCGCACAGCTGAGGATCCAGGGCCCCACCCACCCAGACTGTCTGCTCTAAGCCGGGTGGGAGCCCCCCTGCCTGTGCACCCCCAGCACCTTGGCCTGGGCTTCATATGCCATGGGCCAGGTCATGCTACCCATGTGACAATCCCACCCTCCTCCTCAGGAAAGAAACACCCCATCACTAGGACCCCGGGTCTAACCAGCTCTCCCAGCCCCAAACACAAACAGCAGACAGGCAGGGAGGCTGGGTTCTACTGCTCATCGCGCACGCATGCCTGTGTGAGATGAGAGTCACGTGTATCCTGTGCCACGTGGGCGTGTATGTATGTATGTATTGGCCATGTTTTGCACATGTGGAAGTGTGTACTTGTTACGTTATGCATGTGTGCATGCGTGCACTTGTGTGGTGTCCACGTGGGGATGTGTGCTATGTGCTATGGATGTGCACAGTCATGTGGTGTGGTGTGCACGTGTGGTATGAGCAGTGGTGTGGTGTGTGTTGTGCATGCGTGGATGTGAGCAGTCCTGCATTGTGTACTGTGCACGTGTGGATCTGGGAAAGTGTGTTGTGCATTTGTGGATGTGAGCAGTCATATGTTGTGTACGTGTGGTATGAGCAGTGGTGTGGTTTGTTGTGCACATGTGGATGTGTGCAGTCATGTGGTGTGGGTTGTGTACGTGTGGTATGAACAGTCATGTGTTGTGCATGTGTGGATGTGAGCAGGCGCGTGGTGTGTGGTGTGCACATGTGGATATGCGCAGTCGTGGTGTGTGTTGTGTACGTGTGGTGTGTGCAATTGTGTGTTGTGTTGTGCACATGTGGATGTGCGCAGTCATGCGTTGTGTACGTGTGCTGTGTGCAGTTGTGTGGTGTGTGTTATGCATATGTGGATATGCGCAGTCATGTGGTGTGTCGTGCACGTGTGGATGTGAGCAGTCATGTGGTGTGTGCAGTTGTGTGGTGTGTGCTGTGCACGTGGCTATGCGCAGTCACGTGGTGTGTGCTGTGCACGTGTGGATGTGCGCAGTCACGTGGTGTGTGTTGTGCACGTGTGGATGTGCGCAGTTGTGGTGTGTTGTGTACATGTGGATGTGCGCAGTCACGTGGTGTGTGTTGTGCACATGTGGATGTGCGCAGTCATGTGGTATGTGTTGTGCACGTGTGGATGTGCGCAGTCACGTGGTATGTTTGTGTACGCGTGGATGTGCGCAGTCACGTGGTATGTGTTGTGCACGTGTCGGTGTGCGCAGTCACGTGGTGTGTGTTGTGCACGTGTGGATGTGAGCAGTCATGCATTGTGTACTGTGCACGTGTGGATGTGAGCAAGTGTGTTGTGCATTTGTG